CAAAGATTTCTGCGGTAGGGGCTCAGCATTTTCAGAGCCTGGAATAGCTGGGCTGGGTGCTCAGCCTCAAGAAGTCGGCCCTGGAGCGAGTGCAGAGCCTGGAGTATTTGGGGATAGTCCTAGACACACTGTTCAGGCAAAGGTATTTCTGCCTCCAGAGAAACGTTGCACCCTGAGGAACTAGGTTTGCAGTTTGAAGGCAAAGAGGTATCCTTCGATTCGCCTCTGTATGAGGATGCTGGGAAAGACGGTGTCCTCGTTCGAGGCTATTCCCTATGCCCAATTCCACTCCAGACCTCTGCAAAGGTACATTGTCTGTTTGGAACAAAAAGATTCCAGCCTTGAATTACTGCATATCTCTGTCTCAGCAGAGCCTGAATTGGTGGTTCATAACTCACAGATCCTTTTGGCCAGTGGTGTGTTTTCTGGAGGAGGCCACAGTTCAGGGAACATGACTACAGGGTTCTTTCCATCAATGTCCTGCAACTTTGAGCAGTGAGGTTGGCTCTAAGGTATTGGACATCCAGGCTTCAGGGTTGGCCTGGAAGCATTTCCGACATGCCGCAGCTGTGGCATTTGACCTGGGCAGAGAGATAAGTTCCAAGGTCCAGGTGTGGAAAATTAGCAGGCAGATTATCTCAATCACCAGCAGTTGATTTCAGGGGAATGGGCTTTGCATTCCTAGTCTGCCAGCGACAGGGTTTCCTGGATGTAGGGATTGGCATCCAAGTTAAACAGCAAGGTCAGTCTTTTTGTGTCCAGGGTTAGGGACCCTCGCATGGCAAGGGTAGATGCCTTAATGATTCCTTGGACCCAGTTCTCACTGATTTATGCCTTTCCTTCGATCCAGCTTCTGCCGTGTCTCTTACGCAGGGTTCGGGAGGAGTCTATTCCGGTGATACTGATTGCTCCGGACTGTCCCAGGAGGGCCTGGTATCAGACATAGTGAAGATGGCAGTAGACGGGCCATGGGCCCTGCCGTATTGGCCCGACCTGTTGTCTCAAGGGCCTTTTATTGCACCCAGCTTTACAGTCTCTCACGCCCCCTGCGTGGTGGAGGTGCAAAATAACTTTTTTTATGTGATTTTGCACAGGAGAGCCACCCTGTAGCAGTAAAACTTTATTGGATATGTTTTATAGCAGAGAGTAAAAAAAAATGTTTTTGTTTTTTTCTAAATTTTTGGTCTTTTTTCTGTTTATATCGTAAAAAATTAAAAACCCAGTAGTGATCAAGTACCACCAAAAGAAATCTCTATTTCTGTGAAAAATAATTATATAAATTTTATTTGAGTACAGCGTGTCATGACCATGCAATTTATCAGTTAAATAAGCGCAGTGCTGTATACAGGAAAGAAATGGCCTGGTCATGGAGGGGTTAAAATCTTCTGTCGCTCAAGTGGATTTCTTATATTTACCTAATTAAAAAGTAACCATAATGAACATATAAAAAGCCACTATTCATTCCCTATAAAAGAGAAGTAGGGCTTTTTCCCCCCTATTTATATTTACCTAGGTGGATGCAGCAGCATCGATCCCAAGCTGCATCTGTCCACTGCTAGCTCTAAAGGTGAGAACTCAGTGCTCACATGATCGCTGAGTTCTCACAGCCGCTCCGAGCAGAGAGCGGGACTGTCAGTCACCGCTGTTTGCTCAGCCCCCCAGGAGCGCTGGGCTGTGGAAGGGTAGGAAGCGGCTGACTCAGGTTCCCAGCACTTCACTGAGAGGCTGAGCCAGGTGGCACTCCAGACTCTGGGGTGGATCCCGACTTTGAAGTTGGGATCTTTCCCCAGCCTGGACCGGCTGAGTGAAGTCAGCCAACGGCGGGCTTCAGGTCACAGGAGTGCATGCCACAATTTATTTATCTATTAGAAATGTGATGTTAATTTTTTTGTAAATATGACTGAATATATTTTTACTTCTCTAAATGCTTCAGTACAACAAAATATATAATTCATTAGTGGATAATGAAACATAGAAAAGTGACGGCAGAAAGAGACTTAAATGGTCCATCGAGTGTGTGTGTGTTTTGTGTTTTTTTTTTTTTTTGTTTGGGGGGTGGGCATTTTGTTTGTTTTGTCCCAAGCATGTTTGAAGCTGTTGACTGGCTCACTACCTCTTCTGGAAGTTTATTCCAAGCATCAACTACTCTTTCAGTAAAATAGTACTTTCTGAGATTAGTTTTGGACTTTCTTCCAGTTAGTTTAAGGTCATGTCCCCGTGTTCTTGATTTTGATTTTGTGTTGAAAATACTGCCCTCCTGAACCTTATTCACCTCCTTGATGTATTTAAAGGTTTCAATCGTATCTTCCCTTTTCCTTCTTTCCTCCAGACTACATATTAAGTTCCCGAAGTCGCCCTTGATACATTTTATCCCCCAGACCTTTCACCATTTTTGTTACCTGTCTGTGGACTCGTTCTATCTTATCTTTTTGCAAGTGAGGTCTCCAGAACTGGACACAGTATTCTAAATTAGGTCTAGCTAAAGATCTATGTAGAGGAATCTGGACCTCCTTCCTTCTGCTGGTGACCCCTCTAGTGATGCATGCTAGAATTCTATCTGCTTTCCCCACTGCCTGGCCACACTGCTCATTTTGCAATCATCTGAAATAAGTGCCCCCAAGTCCTTTTCCTCTAAAGTGCTGGCCAACACTGTACCTCCAGTGTTTTACTCTCTCAAGGGATTCTTTTTCCCTAGGTGAATTATTTTACATTTAGAAACATTAAACTTCAATTTCCACTTTTGTGACCAATCTTCCAGCAGTGCCAAATCCTGTTCCATGTTACATAATGGTGGCTTGAATCTCTCACTGGATTCTTTTACCTCTGGAGGGCAGTGAGATCTCTATGCTGGAACTTCAGATTTAGCCGTAATAAAACCAAGCGATACACTGTTGCTTTTCCTATAGTTTGAAATAAACGATGAAAGCAGAAGCAAGAGTGAAAGCTTCTTGTTATGGTTTGGCATGTGGGTGTAGGCAAGGTTTCGGGTACAGAGATACATACTGTCCATCATACTTCTAGTAAATTATACACTATATTGCCAAAAGTATTGGGACACCTCCAAATAATTGGATTCAGCTGTTCCAATCACCTCCATTTCCACAGGTGTATAAATCAAGCACCTAGGCATGTAGACTGCTTCTACAAACAATTGTGAAAGGATGGTTCATTCTCAGGAGCTCAGTGAATTCAAGCATGCCACTTGTGCAAAAAGTCCATCCGTGAAATTTCCTTGCTATTAAATATTCCACTGTCAACTGTTAGTGGCATTATAACAAAGTGGAAGCAACTGGGAAGAACAGCAACTCAGCCATGAAGTGGTAGGCCACGTAGAATGACAGAGCGGGGGTCAGCGAATGCTGAAGCACACAGTGCGCAGAAGTCGCCAATGGTCTGCAGAGTCAGTAGCTAAGGACATCCAAACTTCATGTGGCCTTCAGATTAGCACAACAACAGTGTATAGCGAGCCTTATAGAGTGGGTTTCCATGGCCGAGCAGCTGGATCCAAGCCTTACATCACCAAGTGCGATGCAAAGCGTCGGATGCAGTGGTATAAAGCATGCCACCACTGGACTCTAGAGCAGTGGAGATGTATTTCCTGGAGTGACGAATCATGCTTCTCTGGCAATCCGATGGATGTGTCTGGGTTTGGCGGTTGCCAGAAGAACGGTACTTGAACGGCTTGCCTGCATTGTGTAAAGTTTGGTGGAGGGGGTATTATGGTGTGAGGTGTTTTTCAGGGTTTGGGCTTGGAACCTTAGTTCCTGTGAAGGAACCTGTTAAGGTATCAGCATACCAAGACATTTTGGACAATTTCATGCTCTCAACTTTGTGGGAACAGTTTGGGGATGGCCCCTTCCTGTTCCAACATGACTGCACAAAGCAAGGTCAATAAAGACATGGATGAGTGAGTTTGGGGTGTAGGAACTTGACTGGTCTGCACAAAGTTTTGACCTCAACAGGATAGAACACCTTTGGGATGAATTAGAGCGGAGACTGCGAACCAGGACTTCTTGTCCGACATCAGTGCCTGACCTCACAAATGCGCTTTTGTAAGAATGGTTAAACCCATAGACACACTCCTAAACCTTGTGGACAGCTTTCTCAGAGGAGCTGAAACTGATATAGCTGCAAAGGGTGGGCCAACTCAATATTGAACCCTACGGACTAAGACTGAGGTGCCATTAAAGTTCATGTGCTTGTAAAGGCAAACGTCCCAATACTTTTAGCAATATAGTATATAAGAATCTGCTGGCATATTCTATTTACAACAGAAATATAAGCTTTAATTAAACAAACATGTATTAAAGATGACCTCGACTGCGGAAGCTGCCACCCCAAAAACAACAGAGGGCAAATGAGCAGTCACCAGTATTGCCTGTAGGCTCCCTACAGATGATCTTTTCCCAATTACTGACTTAGCTTAACTGCTTTCCCGCCATATAGTAGAAATATTGCTACAGGGCGGAAGGGGTGTCCAAAATCACGTGTTATATACGCGCACGCCCTACCCACACCGTCATTGGCGGCCTCACCTGTTAATCACAGGTCTTGGCCATTCAAAGTGCTTAATATATAAAGCTTGTCTGAGAGTTCACAAAAAAAGGGGGCAGAGAGCTGAAATTACACACTGCAGAGCTCAGTGAGGAGAGTTCTGACAGCTAATTGGAGGGAAGAGGCACACCCCACTTCATACAGCTCACCGGAACAGAGCTGAGGCTGTCAATCTACTGGAGCTCCCTCCCCTGTCACTATTTTTCTCCTGGTGTTAGGAAAAGTTGTCAGAGGTGATTCATGCTGATAGGAATGATGCAGCAGACAGAAATAGCACTTAGTGCTCTTAATTGAGGCACGTACGCACTATAGATGGATATGCTTTGTTCATATTTCATGTCTGAAGTTTATAACCACTTTAAGTATTATTATATTTAAAAGTTGTGATTTATGCAGTATATGTATGTTAAACACTTTAAATAAAATTACTTTTTCTTTTTTTGCAGTCGGGAAACCCACAAGATTGCAGTGTTTTACATCGCTGAGGGACAGGAAGACAAGTGCTCCATACTGTCTAACAGTTGCGGAAGCAAGGCGTATGAAGAGTTTGTAGCAGGACTTGGGTGGGAGGTAACTGAAATTAAACTGTCATTTCTGCTCACCAATAAAATCAGTCTTTTTTTTTTTTTTTAATTTTGTTTTAATTCTGCTAGTGGCCATTTAGTTGGGTTTTATTCCCCTTTGTGTATGCCGTAAAAGTAGACAAGGATTTTTGTTTATTACAGCGATTGAAAAGTAAAATCATGTTTGTTTATACTACAATAATACTGTAATTATCATGTGAAGGCTGCATTATTTTCTTTTTTTTTTAGGCTTCTTTCGTTACTTTTTTCTGATCTGACCAGTATGTCTGTTGTTTTTCAACAGAACAAGCTGTCCTGTAGATGTAGCAGTTTAGGGGATTGAGACAAACCATTTACTACCGACAAGGATGCTTACAATGAGCAGCTTTAATTTATGTAAAACCTTTATCCAACAAAAAACAACTGTTACTGTAAAGTGTTAGCTGGAGTTATTCTTCCATTTGTCAGTGTATCCAAATCTGCTACTACATCTAACAGCCCCCCCCCCCCAAATTACAATGCTGCAGCCCTGTGCTTCTTCATCCAGAGTGGAGGCACTTTAATAGCGGAGGTGTGTTACTGGCCAGATCACCAGGCGAAAACAGAGAGGGGTAAATAAAACCTAAAAACGAACACTGATGCAGCCATCACATCTAAGTATTTATAAGCTGCAATAAAAATCAATTTTTGGTTTTGGGTTTAATACCGCTCTAAACCTTATCAGAAAACATTAAACAAACAATGTTTTTCTGCATCTGTGAGTAAATTTGTGATGTGTGAATTAGGGCTGGATCACACCTGATGCAGTTCAGTGCGTTTTTAATCTGCGTCAAAAATGCATGCACAGTGTTTCCAGTGTAAAAAAAAAAACTCACCAGATTGCAATAAAAAATGTGCATTCAGAAATACATCCGGAATGCAGGAATTGTGGTGTGAATTGGCCCTTAAAGGATATTTTTTTTTATTATTATTTAGAAGAAATAATAAGTGCACATATTTTTGCAGGAAAAAAAATGTACATGTATTATTTTTTTCCCTAAGGAGCCTGGAAAGCATTGCACCTGTGATCAGTGGATCAGCAGTGAAATGCCAGACTCCTGCAGACAAGCCCTGTAGCTTTCAGCCCGTATCGTGTTACGAGCTGACTGTTTACAAGCTGCAGGGCATGTGAATGAACTACAAGGCCATTCATCAGTGTCCCCACAGTCCATTCAGAACTACAAGCCATCTGCCGGAAAGGCTAACGGTACTTGTATTTCAGTCATTCACAGGATTGTTTTTAAATAGTCACGGCAGCCACCAGGAGACGATCCTACCTTTTCTGCTACCTCACAACACCAGTTGATTCAAAAGAAATCATCCACAGAAGTTCCATGGCAGACTGACACTTGTGGAGCTCTATATTATTTTTTTTTCTAAATGCATGTATAATACTCGCTATTAGCACCTCTGGTCAGTCCATTATTATCCTGCTACTTGAAAGGGGCCTGTGAAATCTTCAATATCCACAACAGGTGTGTCGGATGTCTGAGGATGTCTAGAGGATGAAGACATGGGCATCTGTCACACCCGTAGGTTTTAAATGCTGGAGATTCTAGTGGCAATGCGGCAGGGTAGTGAATTGATTAATTAATGGTGAATATATTATGCATGTATTTCCCAAATCATTATTAAATAAAATTATTTAGTAGTTACATTATTTTTTCTTTAAAATGTAAACACTTACTCATATAAACTGCTTTATTATGAATGTATCCAGTCCAATTATAAATCCCTTAACTGCTAAAAGATAAATGTGGTTTACACTTTAGGGCATGTGCTTCCATGCTATCTTTTACTGTTACTCTTCTCAGTGTGGAACTTTTTTTCCATCTGTGTTTGTAGGCAGATAGCTCAGAAAATTGGACAAAAAATACTGCTTTCGGTGCGATTGTCTTATAATATATTTGTTAGTACACAGCTTTAGAGAGCTGATCATGACAGTTCATGCAAAATTATCTGAAGGGACAAGCACAAAAGTCTTTCTCGTACAATACCAGAACTAATGTTTTTCATTTAATCAGTACAGTATTCGTCTGAAAAAAATAGAGTAACCAAGATAGCATATGCCCGGAACTGAAAGAATACATTACATCACTTTTAAAGTTGTATTCTGTCTTACGAGAATTTTCATAATTTTAGTAAATTAATTTTCGATATGAGACTAGCATGCAAAATAAAAACAGACAATCATTCGTCCAATATTCTCATCGTGTGTACGAGGCTTTAGCAGCAGAAGGCCATCTCTAACCAAGATATTGTCACTCAAATGGCAGCATTAAGCTAGCATTGATGTTTGTGAGAGACATTTATAGCTTTGTAAAACCTTATCCAGCTAAGGGCTATAGATAGTAATAGCAGATGGGTCACTAGTGTGAAATTTCTCTTTTTATATCGTTATCTGAATATCAGTATACTGTATATGTTATGAAATAATAAAACTTAACTTATTGTTTGCAGTTTTTACCATTTTGTGTTAGTTGACACCACTATGGTATACTGTATGGAGGCGGAGCACTACTTTAATAACCCAACACTGTAAATAGTCAATTTTACAGCTGTCAGAACAATAACAGATAATTACTGCTGGGATTTTATGGGTTGTTATGCTTTACAAATTGCTGTTCGCTTTATTAAATGAAGCAAAAATATTTGAAATTACTTTAAAGTTTATCTGAATTTAGAAAGTAAAGATTTGCTCTGTAATAAGAAACATATATTGTGTAAATGGTCATTGTGCCTTAGAAGTACCCTGAAAGATTCACCTTTTGTCTGGAACTTCTCCTGAAAAATAGCAGTTCACTTCCTGTTATGTAAAGCTCCTTACAAACGAACCGAACGGACCAGTATCAAGCATGAATGCAAGCAGAATCACACGATGTCTAGTCTCAGAAGCTTCTCCTGCTTAGTTGCAAAGGGAGAAAACAATACTAAAGATGCCCACATTTTAGTCAAGCTATGTTCAATCTTTTTTTCTGATTGGTAGAGGTAATTGCATGGCAAGGCAGTCTCTGAATTACTTATTAGGCCACATGCACACTAGATGTTTAGCCTGTGCCCAGCATTTTAGTGCACCCGGGAAGCAAAGCTGCAGGGTCCAACCCCACTGCCTGTAGCATGTCAAAGTCTATGGTATTCAAAGTCTATGTACTTGCATTTAGGGCTCTGTGTGTTCAGAGATGAAAGAATAGCCTTTTGACCTATTAGGATGACGTTTTATACTATAATTAGGCAGTTTCAGGAAATCTCATCAGGAATGTAACATATTGCCTAGTTTACTATGTACTCAGATGCAGCATGATCTCTGTGTCCCATTTACTGTATATGAAGTCTGACTTCTGGGAGACTCTGAGACATGTTTCTAAGTTGTTGAGGTATCAGACACTGGGGACTGAATGCATCCGGCTTCACAGCCTTGAAATCAGCATGAGGCTTTCTTTTTCAGAAGGTGTCCTCATTCCTATATACCCAGTTCTCCCAGCTAGAAAGAGGCATTAAGTGCTCCACCTGCGTATGTAGCACACTAATGTACCATATAGGCAAGTTATAGTGCCAATTTGTTTTTATTTTTTATTTTTTTTGCCGGGTATGATTCTAGACTTATGACTGTCAAAGATCAATATTCACAAGTAAAATGACTAATTTCATTAATTTAAGGAAAGTATATTCATGCAGAGTAGAGGTTAACTCATAACCGTTACCAAGTACTGATTGTGTTTTGTACTTTCCCTTTTTCTTATGGTTCAGGTTGACCTTTCCACACACTGTGGATTTATGGGTGGTCTACAGAGAAATGGAAGCACTGGACAAACTGCACCGTACTATGCTACCTCCACTGTTGAAGTGATTTTCCATGTGTCTACACGGATGTTATCTGACTCTGATGATTCTCTAACCAAAAAAGTAAATATGAGCAATATAAATTGAAATTAATGAGGTTTCAACAGAGTATATCTATCTAAAGAAACTTAAATCTGGTCGTTCACAGCCTCAGAACTGTCATTCACACTACACCGTTAAATAAATAGCAATCTGCTGTTCTGAAACTTTTCAGTTTCTTTTTGCCTCTTCACTCAGTACCTGTAGTTTGCCTCATTTGATAATTTTGTTATTAGTTCTCTCAGTTTACCCCATTTCCTTTGAATAACTATATAGATAACCTGAACAAGTGCCCTTGTAAGCTGTGTCTCTGTGCGACATTATTGACCTTGTGTTCCTCTTCTGGAAAGTGTCATGTTCATTGTGAATTGATTAGCTAGAATTTTGACCGTGACTTCTCAGCTGAGGCACTTTTACGCATCAGAACCACCCCTGGTTGAAGTGAAATTACTTTTAGCTGTGGCATAAAGCTGCCTAGATGAATCCAGTCATGCTGTTGACCACCTTCAAAGCATACCATTTACAGAATACTGGATGCCTCAGTTTTAACAGGAAGGTTCCCCACCGAAGGAACCATGACTCAGATTGTACCTTTTTCAGCTCAGAGATTTGTATTCATTAGCAATAAGCATTTTTTATCAGGATGTCTCTGCTAGAATAGAAAATCAATCAGACTAACAGCTTCTTACAATCTGTCCTGCTATCCTAACTAAATTGCAGCTAACAGCTCTGAAATGATGTTCTTTAAGAAGTAGGAAAAATAGCCTTGGCTTATTTGATATTTGGCCATGTTTGAGGCAGAACCTTTTTCCATGCAGAGACCTTGATGTAGCCCCATCGTGAACTCTTGCGCCTCTGCTGCAGAAATTTGTTAGCTATTTCGAGATTAGATTTTTAGCAGCTAATCTCTCTGCTGTAGGGGTTTGTAAAGTGGGGACAGGGCTGTGCTATTGGATTTGTCCAATTCATTTAACTCTAGGACTATAATTGCACTTATGTCTTACCAGGCTTTTATAGCCCGGGGCTGGCCGGCAGCAGAAAAACAAATTGGCAGTGATACAGTAAGAGTGAAAGGGAATGAAAGGAGCACATTATTAGTCTCCAGGCACCGCTGGTCTGGCAGGAAGTTTCTCTGTTAATTTACAAATAAAACTTCGATTTTAGGATGGGCACACTGTCAGGGAAACAATGAGGTTGTTAGGCTCAAGATACTTTGTAGGAGCAGCAGCCGTGACTATTCGACAGCAGAAATTCTTCAATCAAATAGACAAGTTCTTGCTGGAGCCAGCTGGCCATGTAATGCAATTAGTAGGGAAAGGAGGTCAGACCATTAGGTGTGTACCATGACCAGTGTCACTAGTGGCGTGCTGCCCGGCTGGCTGCATATTAGAAAGACTGGTAGGGAGGGGCCAGAGGAAGGGAAATGAGATGGCCTTTTCAGCAAGTGAGTTAACATGGTAGAAGGGCATCCTCTTAAACTATTATAGTGTTTTGCTAAGGCTTGAAAAAATGAGCATTTGTTTAGGAGCTTGATAGCAGGCCCAGACTGCTGCTGGAAAGAACAAGTTCATGGAAAAAAGAATTGGCTTTAGCATAGACATCAGTAACATGTACTTGTTCTAGCTGACCTGACCCTCTCAAACATTACTTGAACTACGCGTGCACCCTAGGCCTTTGCCCTGTTGTGATCAATAGATTATTGGATGTCTGTTTCCACTGTTTTAGAATTTCAGTTGGCCAGTGTTGGCTAGCAAAGGAATTTTTTTTTGTTTAGCATTCTAGGGTTTAAAGGACACACAGGAGTGGACAGACTTTCATTATTTTTTTATTTTTATCATCATGTTTAATTTTTGCAGCTAAATGTCCTAGTCAGAAGAAAATATGACTGTGAGTCTGAGGTAGAGACAAGGTTGGGTAGAATACTCTCCAGCTTTCATATCTAGCAAGTACACTGACTATGAACAGTTATGTGCAACTTCTCCAAGTTCTTCTTTGCATGCACTTACAGCTACAGTACACATTAAGAGTTTCTGATTATGAGCCATATAATTAACTTTTCAACGTATGACGTTTATGCTATGCATAAATTGATGGAATGTTATCTTTAGTTTGAGGACTGCGAAGAATAGAACCAGAGCTGGATTGCGATAGAAGTAGCAATAGATAGATATATAGATGAACAGACGGACAATCAGCAGAGGTTTTCATCTTTATTCAGTAATGGCCTTAGTTGTAAAAGTCCAACCTAGGCTCAGGCCTCTCTGCCCCCAAGATGACCCCACAAAGTATGTTGTAAGTCATTCAATTCAGAATGTTGGGGGCGCATATTTAAAAAAAATGGCCAGTGCTGGGCTTTACGTTTTGTCAAATTTGCTAAATGCTTTCCGCTTACGTTTCATCCCGTCAATAAGAGGGTCAGGACCCTCTCACCGATAGTGTTCTATTGACTGAAACAGTCACCACTTTGGTCCCCTTGGAAACCCATACATTTTAGTGGTGTTTCAAATCAAGCAATCCGAACTACTGTGAAAGGACTAATGGCATTGACCACTCTGCTATTTTCACAAAATAAAGGTAGCATGCATTTTAATATAAAACATTACAACACACCAAATTCCTTAAACCTCCTTGCAAATGTACATCTGTAGATTGGCATTAGTGGTGAATTTTTCAGCTTTTAAAATGCTTATCTTTATATTAAAAAGTCTTCAATAAACTAACTGCAGCCATTATTTTTTCAGCTTCGACACCTGGGAAATGATGAAGTTCACATTGTGTGGTCTGAACACACTAGAAGCTACAGAAGGGGCATTATACCTACAGACTTTGGTGATGTTTTGATTATCATTTACCCAATGAAGAATCGGATGTATTTTATTGAAATCATGAAGAAACCAGAGGTGGGTAAACTAAATAAATCAATAGCTTTGGCAAATATTTTAAACCTACCTGTTCTGCCTGTAGTATGTATTCTTAAGGTAAACATGGCACAAACCTAGGTAATTCAGATTGGGTATATCATGACAGCAGTACAATTGCATAACTGTTAGTCATTGACCAAAATAATGCTAGCTGGGTGAATTAGACAATTTGCAGATATCTAACGTAAAGCAAAACTAAACTAAAAGACATATGGAAACTCTTTCTGATAATGCCAGCTATAAGTGTCTCATGCGAATCCTCTGACTTCAGATTTGTCTGCATCATCCGGAATCAATATGGAGACAAGAATTTCTGACTTCACTAGAAGCATACTTATTTTACACCAGTTAAAGTTGAACCCTGGGAATAAAATAAAATGTACTCTCGCAGTGGGGCTTATCTGCACTGCATTGGTTAAATTCTTGTTTAGTCCAGGGGTACTGGGATATGGTGTAATTTTTTACCATATTCCTGGCTTCAGCAGGTTCCCTCCATCTATGCGATTGGTCCCTGGAACATCTTCTCTAAGAGACTCTGAGCTGTGGTCACAGGCTCGATTCCTGACAATACAGTGCAGGGTTGATAGCCCTGCATTGTGCACGATGATGCCAAGTAATCACTGCTCAGTATGTGACCTGAAAGCTAGTGGAGACCAGTGAAGTAGTGGTGTCTACCAGATTCCAGGGACATCAGCCAGGTATGGTGTATGCATAGTCACATTGGTCCAAGCTCTATAGCTTTAGTTAACTAACTTATCTGTAAGAAGTATGTCCCCCATCATGCAGGTTGCTGGATCCTGGAGATATCTTATTTGCAGGGATGCCCTGTCCTCTTCCTGCTGCTGAACTTCTGTCACTGTGAGTTGCTTCAGATCTTCTGTGAAACTGCTGTGAAAAAAACCCCAGTGAGGAACTGCTCTCTTCTCTTCCATTGAGAAGTTTTTTTTATATTGCTTTCGCTGTCTGTCACATGATCTGTAAATTAGGACGATAATCCTGTAACTCAGCATAGCATTTGTCAGTGGAGGGGAGGAAGGGGAGGGGACAGGTTTTTGTTGGGAACTTTTTCACAGCAGCTTCACAGGAAGAGGATGAGGCAATCATATTCATTACAGGTAAGTTGGCCCACCAAAGGTTTAGAGAATGTTTGGGGGGCTTTTTATGGCTAAACTGAACTGCGGACAAACTGAGATGCAGATGCCCCACTGCAAGTTTACATAGTTACGTTTAGTTTTATTCCAGGAGTTCAGTTTTAAGTATTGAAGTCCAATACCACAAAGCAAATATTGTTTTCAGGGGGACAATAGCAAGCTACATGTTTTTCTCAGTACAGGTATCCTTTAATTCACTATAAAAGGTATGTGTTGAACAATCAAAAGTTGCTCATGAAATGATGAACTGGAAATATTACATGAAACTTGTCATATGGAAAGACTGAAGAATGTCGAAGCTGGCTTTTGCTGAAAATGATAGTTGCCTATTAAATAAATATAATCTTGTGTGCTTCTATGGATCAACAAAAAACTTCTAATGATAACTAGATGTAATAGTGAAATTATAAATTAATATGTAGCTGCTTTTGCACATTACCCTTATCCCACATAAGGTAAACTAATATACACAGTGACCAGTGCAGCGCTACAATATTAAGTGGAAAACAACATAAATAAGTTATTGAATAAAACTGAATGAAAAAGTCCAATAATCTTCATTAAAGTGCTTCAATCCTTCTGCAGTCACCAAGTGCTTCAAAACATAAAAGTGCAAGATTCCACCACCTCCAGCAGTGTGACCTCACATAATATTATGTTTGCTCTAACTGCGCTTTTTGTCCTAATATGGATCAACTTGATGGATTTCAACTGTGGTTCACACCTTGTACAACTCCCACCATCACATCACAATAGTTAAAGCTAAAGTCCCAGCTGTTTAGTCTTCTACAGATCAGTTAATCGGGATAAAATCAGTGTGAAAAATCTTTCCTTTTCAGTCTTCAATTGCTGTAATTTTCACTAAAATTCAGTGCAATATGGCAGTCTGGAGGCTTTTTGCACACCATGGCTGTTGTATTTAAAGGTTAAAGCATACATTCAGTCTGGGCTACAGTTTCCTATAATGTGGTTCAGAGGTGCGGTCATTTTACGTTGACTTTAAAAGAGCATCTCCTTTAAATTCCAATGCACCTTAGCAGAGATTTCTTTAAAAACATCACGAGTTATCAGTGCAAACTTATCAGACTCAGGCTAGTTGCCTATGCTTTTGCTGGCCCTCTAGCTCTATACTTTGAGTCAATGACCTGAAACAAGAAATGATAAGTTTTCTGACTTTCTATGACTTTCCTACATTTTATACTTGATTGAGATCAGTGCCTCAGAATGTTTCAAATTCAGAAGGCTAGCATACCAGCCTGACAAATAGCATTTTCAAAACGAGATCAGCTCCTGTACCCCTCTCTACAAGCAGTAGATTAAGTGACCTGTTGAAATTACTGCAGAACAGCAGAATCAACCAAGATAGGATAAGGTAAGATGTAAAAATATAGAAGAAGTTGTATGGGTATATATAAATTCAAGGCATGCTATTAGTCATTACTGCCTGTTGATGTGTTAGGACCATGAGTGTACAGAATACAGGAAATGATGGTAAGCAGGCAAGATTTCTTTGCGTTCACCTACTTAGGAAACATACTGATCAAAGCCTTCTCTCAAGTGCCAGAAAGCACTGTCAAGGACCCTGACTACAGGATAAATGAGAGACTGAAAAAATCTGAAATCAGCAGTCATTAAAGCACTTTGAAATTCGGTTCAATATAATGTTGGGAAAAGAATTACAAGTAGGTGCACAGAAGAGATGCCTGGAATTAATTGATGTGCTGCAATTAATGTACCTCTTAGAAACATCATTTTCTGAAATATATCAACATACAACTTTTCCATTATTCTGTACCCAAACATGCTGTTATAGTGGACCTGTTCTTAAGATCAACGAAAAACTATTGCTTTTTGCTTCTCTGAACTATTCTCTTTTTCACTATCAATTTTTCCACAACTTCAGAATCTGTGTAGTGAAAAAAATGGCAAAAAGTAGTAGTCGGTAATTTGCAAGAGCTTTCTGCAAAATGGATTTTGTTGAATTATTTTCCCTCATTCAAAACATGCTAAAAACTAGTAGAGAGATGACCTAAGGCCTGGTTCACACATTTGGTTTTTTTAGCGGGTTTGTCAGAAACACACAATGGTTCATTTAACATATTTTCCTATGGGACATGTTCACATCTATGCATTTTCAGCTGCTGGATTTTGGGAAAGAGAGACTTTTATTCCTGTAGCAGATTGCCTGTTTGGTGTAATAGACCTGAGTTTTTTTTTTTTTGGGGGGGGGGCAATAGAAAAGTATTAAGTGTGACTTTGATGTGACTTTACACTCTCTGGCACACAAGTCACATCAAAGCAGAACCAAAGTAGTGCAGGAATATTTTCAAAGCCACTGCGACTTTGAAAAGGTTTCTGCACGACTTACATGCAACTTTACACTCTGTGGCACTCAAGTCACAACAAAGTTGCCTTAAAGTAACATCAAAGTAGTGCAGGAACATGCAGGAACATTTTCTAAGTCTCTGCGGGGATTGTGCATCACCAGGATAGGAAGATACACAAAAAAAAATTCATCCATTCTGTCCTCCATTCATAGAGTACTACTTTATTGGGAGAAGCTATAGTACAGCTTCTATAAGTGTGTGTGTGTGTGGGGGGGGGGGGGGCGCACAGTCTTGATGAGTGCCTGTGACAGGTCCAGTGGCTCATATTAAGCCCTTTTTTTTTTTTCAGCTGCCAATTTTTAGTCAAATGCTGAGTTTGTATTGCACAGGTTTTCACATATTTATTTCAGTGGATGATATGTAATAACCTACTCTATGCTTATTCTCGACTGAACAAATCACATATAAAAATAATACTTTAATGTAGTCATTCTTTCTGTACTGATCCCTGAGTAGTAATCATGTTCCATACCTTGTCTCTAACTGAATAGATCACATATAATCTCTTACTCTACACTGATTCCTGGGTAAATTTGATTTACATAATTATCTCTGTTTCCCTGAGTGATATAATTGCTTCTATATTAATCTTAGAATAAAGCGATCCCGTCAGATTTATTTAGTAAATGTTATTTAATTTTTCATTCTTGTACACAAAAGTCACACTCTGAATAGAACTCATATAATATACCGCATTTTTCGCTCCATAAGATGCACTTTTTTCCCCCCAAAAAGGGTGGGAAAATGTCAGCGAGCGAATATAAAGTGGCCGGTCTGGTTTTTCTGCTGCCATCATGTCAGAATATCGGACCGGCCGCTCAGCTCTTCTCTCCTGCAGGACCTTACCTGTTCCTTGCTCCAGCGCTGTACAGTCTTCCCGCGCTGGCATCTGTGACAGCCGGGTGCCCACTGCGCATGCGCGAGAAGCGCTGCGCTTTATGAATGTTCCGGCGTCTTCTGGGACACATGACAGGTCCCAGAAGGCTCCGGACCATTCACAAGGCGCAGCGCTTCTCGCGCATGCGCAGTGGGCACCCGGCTGTCACAAGCCGGCGTGGGAAGAAGGAAGGACAACTCCTCGGAAGTGGGAACAGGTACCTGTCAAATTCAGGTACACGCTCCCCCTCCCTCCCCAAAGGTCCGCAGTCTCTGGTCATCTCCTTTCCTGTCTGCAGTGTCTGGTCATCCCCTGCACTGTCTGCAGTCTCTGGCCATCTGTACTGTGTCTGCAGTCTCTGGTCATCTCCTGTACTATGTCTGCAGTCTCTGGTCATCTCCTGTACTGTGTCCGCAGTCTCTGGTCATCTCCTGTACTGTGTCCGCAGTCTCTGGTCATCTCCTGTACTGTGTCCGCAGTCTCTGGTCATCTCCTGTACTGTGTCCGCAGTCTCTGGTCATCTCCTGTACTGTGGCTGCAGTCTCTGGTCATCTCCTGCACTGTGTCCGCAGTCTCTGGTCATCTCCTGTACTGTGTCCGCAGTCTCTGGTCATCTCTGTACTGTGTCATCTCCTGTCTCCTATGTCCGCAGTCTCTGGTCATCTCCTGTACTATGTCCGCAGTCTCTGGTCATCTCCTGTACTATGTCCGCAGTCTCTGGTCATCTCCTGTACTGTGTCCGCAGTCTCTGGTCATCTCCTGTACTGTGTCCGCAGTCTCTGGTCATCTCCTGTCATGTCCGCTCCTGTACTGTGTCCGCAGTCTCTGGTCATCTCCTGTACTGTGTCCGCAGTCTCTGGTCATCTCCTGTACTGTGTCCGCAGTCTCTGGTCTGTACTGTGTCAGTCTCTCTCCTGTACTGTGTCCGCAGTCTCTGGTCATCTCCTGTACTGTGTCCGCAGTCTCTGGTCATCTCCTGTACTGTGTCCGCAGTCTCTGGTCATCTCCCGTACTGTGTTCGCAGTCTCTGGTCATCTCCCGTACTATGTCCGCAGTCTCCGGTCATCTCCTGTACTGTGTCCAGAGTCTATGGTCATCTCCTGTACTGTGTCCGCAGTCTCTGGTCATCCCCTGTTTTTTTTCCGCAGTCTCTGGTCATCTCCTGTACTATGTCCGCAGTCTCTGGTCATCTCCTGTACTGTGTCCGCAGTCTCTGGTCATCCCCTGTACTATGTCCGCAGTCTCTGATCATTTTCTGTACTGTGTCTGCAGTCTCTGGTCATCTCCTGTACTGTGTCCGCAGTCTCTGGTCATCTCCTGTACTGTGTCTGCAGTCCATTGGTTCAGAATATTTGTTTTCTTTTTTTTCTCCTCTAAAACCTACGCGCCTTATGGTCAGGTGCGTCTTATGGAGCGAAAAATACGGTAGATTTATCTCAAACTTACTTCTGTACATCTTTCTCACACTTCTATTTGGGCTTTTTGGGGTTTATGTAAGAAAGTATACAATGTCATTATCAAGTGCAGTAACCAATAGTAGCCAAACAAATTTTGGTTTTATGAAATTTGATTAGGAAAAGATTAAAGTGGAATAATTAGACTGTGTGCATAATCACATTTACATTACCTGTGTTAGGTATATACAGTATAATTTTATGTGCATACATTTATGTTATAACCTATATTTAATGAAATGTCTTAGTATATGTAATGGAACCCTTATATATATATATATAAAAAAAGTATACAAACCCATTACTGAGCAAAAAATAGATGCAGACATTTCCAGGGCAAGTGTATAGCTGACCTTCTGTTCACCAGCAACTGACCCCAGTGTGAATGGAAGAGAGAGATGTCTGTTGTTTGGCCCCATTGCCTGGTATTTAAATTGCATTCCCTAATCAAATGAAAAGGCTGTCCTCTATCAAGTTACAACATCCATGGCAACATTTGGCTTTTATATAGCATAATGTTAGTCTCTTTTTGTTTGCTTTTAAGTAGGGACACCTGGAACTGCACTCATTTTGCATAAATTGTTCCATCGTATGTCCTGATAGCCATCAGGCTTGTACAGCAGAAAATCCCCAATCAGATTTATTTCCATTTCAAATATAGATTTCCCTATTTGGAAAACAGAACAGATCTGCATGTTTTCACTTAATTAAGCAATATAATTATCACAGCCCGTGAACGGGCTTCGCTCAACAAAGCTCCAGAGGAAGACAATGGAAAGTCTGTTAGAATGAAAGCATTCCACGCGTCACAGATGTATAAGGGTATTCTAAACAATGAGGTGAAAAGCTGCCTGCCATAGCGGACAAAGAGCAGCATGCAGACTCTCCACACGGCACATACCGCCAGGGACAGAGTCCATCCTCCCTGGGACCCAGATGCCTCGTTATGTTGCAGCTAGTCATCAGAGATTAATTCTCAGCCATTTGGTACAATAATTTACCCATTCCCCGGTGTTTAAACCAGTGGCATTGACTGTGGACTGCAGGTCTTTGTATTCAGAAGCTTAAGCTAACCTCATCTACTTTGTTTTCATGGAGTATGTATTTTTTCCTATTGTGCTTATCCTACTTTACTAAGAAATATTTTTCATATGGGCAAATTATAATTTATGAAAAGAAGAAAATTTGCAAAGAAGAAATTCAGTTGAATTAGAAAGCATGGCATTGCTTTAAAACTACACGTGTCATTAAATATGGCTGTCTAATATTTTTTGATTACTGGCAATGGTAGCTGAAATCCAGTCCTTTAACCATCATCCTTTTAAAGATGAAATCCACGCAGATCTAAACACACAGTCATGTGTTCATTAAAAAAAATAGTATATTTATACTTAAGTGCAGCTAGTGTAAGTATCTGAATCTGACTTGGTATTAGCCTCTCGTAATCCCTTGCCTTGCAGACTGGGGAAAAGTGGAGCCAGCACTAGGAGACAATCGGGTATCCTAAAAACTAAGCAAGGGGGGTAAGCATATTCGTATGCTGCCACTCCTTTGCTGTCCAATCATTGGCTATGGATGAGGAAGTGACTGGAATGTCTTATTTAAATGCAGTAGAAAAAAAGGAAAGGTCTGGTAGGACTGTGTAAATCTCAGGACAGGATGGACAGAAATAAACATTTTGTGGCCAGTAATACTGCTCCAATATTTATGGTATCTAGCATGGCATTCATGCTGACTCTTAAGCTTTAAAATCACTGACTTGAAACAAGTAGAGTAATAAGAACATCTGACTGTCCTGATCTGCAAACATGGTCTTTTTTCAGTGAGTCACGTGACTTACAAAGTATTAAGAAAGAATGCTAGCATAGTAGCCAGGCAACCCTAATTTTCAGAAGAAGGTCACCAATAGCAGGAGTGGTATTACTCCTGTGACAGGTTTACTTTAAAGTCTATCTCAAGGCAAAATCTGAAACCCTCCTGCAGCAACGAGGACACTTGAAAGACTCTTCCAGTCTTCAATCAAGAAGAAAGAAGATTCGCACCCAGCATGTCATGTTTCCATGGATTCAGGTAAGTATTTGGGGCTTTTAATTTTATTTTATTTTTTTTTTTCAATTCCTAGTTTTAATTTTCAAGTATTCTATAAACAGTACAGTATAAAGAGAAGCCAGATATGTTCACAAAATTAAATTGCACAGCTAAAACTTTGTCAAATTATTGTAAGTCATGTTTATCAAGCAGAGAGTATTTGCTAGTAGGACAGACATTTTACAGATATGCAGCCATGAAATCCAAACAAGAAATCTAGTTGTGGACTTGGGAGCAGACCTGGTTGAACTTGCTCTGGCATGACTATACCCAGAATGATTTGCATATTAAAGGACTAGGGTGCCTCCTAGGAGCTTGTCTGATTGCATTGGCTCAGTGAATGAGGTTGTTGGATCCTATTGTTTATTTTGTACTATGGGTTGGGAATACTTAAGAAGCATGAGGAAGATCAGGGAGAAATGCAGATAAAGAAGGGTAATAAGAAAGGATGGGGGGAGGAAGAATGGGCAGGGGTAGTGAGGATGTGAGGGGAAGAGAGAGTGGTGTTGGAAAGCTGGGTCAATGGTGACGGCACTTGCAGAGGATTCAAACTTCACCTGTGCTCTATAAAGTAACCACAAAAAGACAGTCTTTTAAGGTCTCCAACAACTTGGGGTTTCCTTCTGTAGTTTGAAAATCTACCCAGTTAAATCAGGTCATACAGAATCAATGTTCCTTTCAATTTACTGCTGCCATCAAATCATTCATGATAATAAATCTGTTTACTTTTTTTTAACCAAAAACTGATTGATTTGGCAGTAAATTGTTTCCAGTAGAGTGGGATATATTCTTCTTGATCTATTAAATACATGGTAATTTACCATAGTACATAATTGGCATTGGAGTAGGCAGCTCAGTAAATTTCCAGCTGCATGTCAGTCAGTTTGAAAGAGATTTTCAATCATCCTGAAACTGGACAGTTCCATAATTTCTGCAACAGAGTTCCATCCTCTTATTGACTTCTCCAGGAAGAGGCAGGCACTGATGGAACAATTTGTGAAGGGTTTTTGGAAACCTTTACCAGCAGGACAAGAGCTTAAAACCTGATGCTTGTATTTTACTTTAATAATGCTGTGCTGCTTTATAAACTAATCATTTATTACAGTATAATATACCTGTACACCATCTGGGTCCACCTGGAAGCTTGCCTGAAAATTCCCAATTAGAAATCCCTTTTTCCTGCTTTGTTAGTAGGAGGCGAAAACAGTTGATTTTCACTCCTGTATTGTTGACCGTGAGCATCCAAACCAAAAGGATTGCTAACTTGTTTTAATATCCTCTTGAGACCCCTTGACTGCTTAGGCTATTGTTCTAAAGGGGAATATTGACTCTTAAGTACGTTTCCATTTTTGGGGGTTTGAGTGGGGTGCATTATCCACATATTCCTATGAAGAATCCAAAGTAAGAAGACCCCAGAATTATGGCTTCTGCACAGGGATATGAGGAAATTGCACTCCAGAGATGTAACCAGGTAGATAATGTAGCAGCATCCCTGTTTGTCACAGGAAACCAGGAATGGGAGGAAATCTTCTTGACAAGGCCACAGAGAGCAATAATAGACTGACAGTTGATCAAACCGTGCCTCGCTCTACTCTAACAAAAAAAAAAAATGGGAGGGGGCTAGTTAAGTTTACTTTGTATGCAGTGTTTTGGGTGAATGCATTCAAGGTAAAAAGCATGTATAGCACATCTTATACAGAGGAATCTGACCTTTATATTGCTGTAAGGTTATGTGTTCTCCTGAAATGACATTAATGTTTGTTGCTTTGGCTACTTGATTGCAAATAGCGCTGTGCATTAGTAATAATTTCAGGTGTGCAAGTGTGGCTCATAAGTAGGAAGATGACGTTAAATTGTTCATATTTTAATTTGACTCAAAAGCAAAAAAAAAAAAAAAACAGTAATATGGGTTAATGAAACTGGACTAAAGCAAATCACTCAGAGAAAGTAAGAACTCTAACATAAGAAAAACTTGTATGTCAGCTCTGATAGACCATTCTTTTTTCTTTTTTTCTTGGAGTAAGGCAAGACCTTTTCAGATTTGAATTTCTGTTGGGAAGTAGAGAATTTTCTCAACTTGACTGCTGTAAACTGAACTTCT